GGTCTTATTTTTGGAGGATGTCTTATTTTTGGGGAAACACGGTAGCATAGCCTTGTGGTAGGTCTTGCCAGGGTTGCTGCCCCACCTTAGATGACATTGCAGACATCAATAGAGCCTTACATCCTCCTCTGTAGACCATTTATGCAGCCACTGGCTTTGGCGTACAAAACAAACACATTTTTCATCTTGACTCTGGCAGTAAATGAGTAGATCATCGATCATCATAGCAAAAACATCTTGTTACAGGTTGCAAAATCGCCTCACTTTCCTTTCCTTTGGTTTTCCACCAGTGAGGTGATAGGTCTGGGCTTGTTATTTCCATATCAAAGATGAGAAAACAGAGATTCAGAGAGGCAGGGATATGGCAAAGGTAGTATAGCTGGGATTGAATCTCAAGTCTGCCAGGTTCCAAATCCATGGCCATTTTTAACTACCTCCTGACTGATGTTTCTACTCAGCCCGAATCCTCCCAAACAATCCTGATGGGCAGACTCCTGACAGGTAAACTCCAAACAAAATCAGAATCCATGTGGGGCTTTCCAGGACTCCACCAGCTTTGTTTTGTGGTTTCTTCAGCTTTCATGTCACAGCAACTAAGCAAGATAAACAGACATCGTGCTCCAAGGAAGAGGACCTTGGATAGGGACATATCCTCCCTCACTCAGTTGCTTGCTTTTCCCTAGGGTAGGTTTTATTTGGACAACGTGGCTGCTTCTCTGAACATGTAGTTAACATTGCAATCCCTCAGTCTTAATTTGTGATCTCTACTTGGCAATCACGTGATTATTGGAAACAAGAAATGCTCCTGGGTTGGGGGGCGGAAGGAATCAGGTACTTGGTTCTTTGTGACAAAATGCAGAAAGCTCCTGCCCCAACCTTTCCCAGCAGTGGTGGGGAGAGAGGAGGGAGAGAATGAGATATCTCCTACAACTTCTGTGGCCTGAGACACAGACATTCCTGCATGTGCGGGGTGTCCTTACATCAGATACAGAGGATCTGGGTTTGCACATGAGAGATGTGTAGCAGAGAAGAAGCAGGCACTGTATGAGTTTGCTGGGGCCACCATAACACAGTGCTACAGACTGGGTGACTTGCACAATAAAAACATATATCCTCACATTTGGGGCGGGCAGAAGTCCAAGATCAAGGTGTTGGTCAGGTTGGTTTCTCCTGAGGCCTCTCCTTGACTCCCAGATGGGTGTCTTCTCTCTGTGTCCTCACATGGTCATCCCTTTGCATGCCCGCGTCCTAACCTCCTGTTCTGATGCCCCGAATCACCATGGATGAGAACCCGCTCTAATGACCCCCTTTTCATCTAAAATTACCTCTTTAATGATCCTGTCTCCGAATACAGTCACTCTCTGAGGTTAAAACTCTCACATATGAATCTGTGGGAAAGGGCACAGGTACCAAGCTTGAAAAAGTAAAAACATCTCCTAGACCTAGAGAGATTTTATCTTTTTAAAAAAATATATATTTTTATTGATTTTTCACAGAGAAGAAAGGGGAGGGATAGAGAGCTAGAAACATCGATGAGAGAGATAGATCAACCAGCTGCCTCCTGTACACCCCCCACCGGAGATGTGCCCACAACCAATGGACATGCCCTTGACCAGAATCGAACCTGGGACCTTTCAGTCTGCAGACAACGCTCTATTCACTAAGCCAAATCGGTTTCATCAGATTTTACCTTCTTAAAAGCCAAGAGAAAAGTCCTCCATCCCTGCCTTAATTAACCATTTACTTTAATATCCCATTTTGAAATTAAGCTCTTTTTTCCACTTTTGCCCCACCGGAAGCACTTATGTCATTCTGCCTTGGGTTGTGGTTAACCATGTCTTTCTGAGTAGCCTCTGAGACCCTGAGGGCAGGCAGGACTGTCCTTAAGTTACATCCCTAAGCCTCCACCACAAGGCTTCCTGAGAGGGAGATACACAGCCAGCATTTAAAATGATTCTCTCAACAAGCACTGATGCTGGCTTTGCAGTAGGCTCTGTGCTAGCCATTGGGTCTTATGTTCATTGAAATGCAGTGACCATGGTCAATATGACTAAAGAATGAAACCTGTATCAGACTCAGAAGGACCGTGCTCAGATCTGTGTTATTCAAGGCTCACACCAGCAGGCATATGGTGTAGGGGATGGAGGAGTTGAGGCAGAGCTGCCATGGAATCCAGCTGACAGGCAGGGTTCGGTGCTGTGGTGTGAGTTAGCATACAATTTTTATTGTCCATTCTCCTACCTTTGGTCTTTTCGTGACACTGGGAAAATTGCCTCATTTTTCTTGGCCTCAGTTTTAAGCCTTTTTAAACATAGACTTGATGAAGGAGAGTCTTTGTATTTTGGTTACAAAGGCTTCTCTAGCTGAGGGTTTGTGGCTCCTGGCCTTGCATTATCTCTCATTATCCTGCTCCTCCCTATACCTCATCACCATTTGTTCTAAGCAGCGAGGTGACTCTGGGAGCCTGAAACAGGTCAGGTAGGTGATAGTAGATGAGCCAGGCTAACCGCACAGACAAGAGGGCAGAGGCCACAGCAGTTTTGCTGGCCCAGCTATGTTCCAGGAAGTCTCACCATCCACACTGAGTGAGAAGGAGCCACCGAAAAGTGCCTATTCATCAGGAGAAGGACTGTGTCTTGCTGAATATTTGCACTTTTCAGCAGCATTAAAGGAAGTTGGTGTGTGGTTTTTTTTTTTTTTTTTTTCTTCTTGTCAGCTCTTCTCTTGGTCCTCATTATATAACCCACATTTTTCTGTGCTTTTCCCTTCTAGTTTATCAGACTTGTTCTTTTTTTTCTGTGCACATAGCATATTTCCTACGTGATTCTACTTTGTATTATGTCCTTGGACAGTTTTGGAAACAGTGGATGACTTTGCCTGCTTTCTGACTATTTGATACAAGAGCACAGGCTGAGTTTGAATGTGACTATTAAGAAGCTGCCAAGAGTCTAAACTTCATCCAGAAAGTCATATATTCTCTTCCGGGAACAACAACAACAACAAAAATCTACTCCAGCATGGTGCTGGGGAGGTGGGGTGGGAGATGACGTCAGTACATACTATTATACGTCAGTTGTACTGTGTACGGCTGAGCTGTGTTGAATACTTACATCTTCCTCTCTCCCCATCTTGAGGCTAGTGCTTTTTTGGTGCTATTTCCAGTATATAAATGCAACACCTAATTTCCTGCAAACCAACTATGTCTTCAAAGGCAAATCGTCTCATTTCAAACAAACAGTAAAGAACAGGCACACGGAGCTCTCTTAAACACGGAGTGACAGCTTACATTACCTTTGGTGATATGAAAGTGGCTTTGACAAATCTCATTTGTCTGTGCTTTCCTTGGGGCTGAGAGAAGACAGTTCTAAGGCTCAGGCTAACTCTTGGGTGATAAAATAGTAGAAGATGTGACCGAAAACTATGGAGAGTGGTGTGCATAATAATCTAGGAGCTTGCATACCGTCACGCTTCTCTGCAAAACCAATTTAAATCAATTGAATAATAAATGCATTTCTCAACACTTTTATATAAAAGATTGTCACATGCTAAAAATAGATTACTTAGATCTTCTTAGAAATGTCACAGTAGTCTTATTACACATACCCATGCCAGTATTTGTGTACTTTTCTACAAACACTTATAGATATAGTTTGGTTTGTTTTTTTTACCATGATTTCAGCTTTGCAGTAATAATAATTTTGGGTTCCTGACATGCTTCAGTGGCTCATGCAGGTTTAGTGAGCTTTTAATAATGACAATTCACCACCCAAAACCACAAATATGACTTTGTCACAATTTATATGCAACATATGACTCTATCCCCAACTCATCCCTTGCCTATTCCCCACTGAATATAACTATCAGTCTGAATCCTGTGTTTATCTCTCTTACTTTCCTTTTTATATGATTTATGGCATTTATTTGTAACTTTATAAAATGTTTAAATGTTATTTGTGTTTAATTTAGAATATTTTGAGACTTACTTTTTTGCACTTAATGTTTTAGTGTCACTGCAGTTCAACTGTTTTGACTTCTGTGAGCATACCACAGTTTATTTTCCACTCTCCCTTTGATGGGCATTTGGGTGGTTTCCCAGATTTGCTATTGTGAACAGTGTAGCCATGAGCATTCTTATACATGCCCTTTCTTGTACAAGTGTAAGGAAGGAATTCTGCAGTACATGTTCACCTTCAGGAGACAATGACAATGCTTACTATTGTATGCAACCACCCTACACACATATATGCAGTTGGGTGTTTTCGACTGTTCAAATGGACAGTTGCTACACTTAAATAATAAAATCACTATATGCTATTTTTCATTTTACTAAGAAAATATATGTATTTCTTCCACAAGCCTAATATTATGTAAGTAGATACAAATTGGAGTGGCTTGAGTCAAGCTGCTAAACTCAGACAAACCCAAACAATACCACTGCAGTAGAAAGTACACCTTCTATGGAACAGTTCTATCTCAGGTCCAGGGAAAAATTAGCTTCCATACAGTACAAAATGCTGACATAAGAACCCACGATGTGGACATTGATGCCTGGATGTACACCAGACCTCCCCTAACATCTCTACATGTGATGTCAAAGGCATTTTTTTCTGACCTGCAAATAGGAGGACTTTTCTTAGTGGAAAAAAAAAAGTCCATGTACTTTCTCTTTACCTGAGAAAGATTCTGATGCCTTTGCAAGCCAAACAATAATGTCATTAGCAGCTTGTCAATAATCATCAGCACATAACGATTATCTGAAAATTTACTGTTCTTTTTACCAGCCCTGTCATCCTCTAAACTCTACTCAGTGGTCTGATTGCACAATTAATCTTCTTGTTCAGAAATTATCATCTCTGGAACAAAGCACACCCCTTCGCATTTTTTTTTAATTGTCAATTTTTCTATTTGGGGGAAACAAACTGGCTAATTTGAATTATAATTCCACACGAAGCTGCATTTCATGCAGACAATGTTGTCTGCCTGCTGAACAGACAGCTTACCTTCACGTAGAGCTGCTGGAATTCCTCGAGGTTCAGCCTCCCGCTGGGGCAGTCCTTGAGGAACCCCTTGTACCACTGCTTGAGCTCATGCTCGTTGAACTCCGTGCTCTTCACCAGGTCCTCCATCACTTCGGGGGCCAGTTTGCTGTTCTGTTTCCCCATTTTGCCTGAAGAAAAGCAAATTAATGCAATTAGCGCCATGGCTATGATTATTTCAAACTTGATTAGGAGCCAAGCTGGAGTTCTGAGCAGTTCCTTGGAGGGAACTCCCTCCAGGGTATCTGATAAAAGTCTCCCCAAGTCTAGTTCCTTCTATTCGGAATTCTAGAAAAGAGATTAGCACAAAACCCTCTTCTCACAGTTCAAAGGGCTGTAGCGTTCACCTTCCTCCATCATGTGTCATCTTTAACGTGGCATTGGTTACCACATGGGAAGGCACCCGTCCCTTTTTATGCTACTCAAATAAAGTATATGGGCATTATTTATATTTTCTTTCGATGAACTGAGTTTATTTTTATTTACTACCCAGGTACCTAATTCTACATTCAGTTTGTGGAACTATTGAGATTATTGATAAGAACGATAAGGCATTGTAGCCAAATAATCAAAAAGCAGTTTGGAAAGTTGGTCAGCAATGGTAGGGAGTCTCAGTTGTTCTAGTTATAAAGTTACAATTTTTTTTCTTCCAAATGGAAACAGCTCATATTTATTAGTCATATTGATTCTCTATTTTTCTTCTTATCTTCAGAGACTTCCACCAACACTGCTTTCAGTGTTGACCAACTCTTTTCAAAAGATCATTTGGTGAATTTCAGCTGACATAATTACATTCTTTTATTATTACTGTTAGTAAGTAAAAATAAGAGTACATTAAATAATGTTACCTAAAAAGAAAGAAAAAGAAAACAACAAAATGTTACCTACATCAATTATGTGCCAAGTTATGTGGCCATTTTCATAGTAAATGAAAATGGTTTAAAATCATTTCTGATTTGGCCATTTACTATGTCTGACACTTATGTCAATGCTAACTACTTTATCTTCAATGTCTTCCTTAATAAAGCACATATGATAACAAAACTCTTTTAGCTTCACTGAAAGAAATAGGTAAACAAAGATAAAAATACTCCAAAATCAAAATAGTTGCATTCGTGCAGGAAAATTAAGGATCACCTTGTAAAATTTCCTTTTAGTGTTGTTTTATAATAAAAAAAAGAGTGAAAACGAATTAGCCACAGATTGATTTAAAAAGTCAAAGTGAACTTGAACATCTAAGGGTCCACCAGAATAAGAAAAATGTCACAAGGTCTTTAAAACTGTTCAGAGGAGGCTGAGTTGGGTTTTGAAGAATGTACCCAAGTGGACCTAGTGCTTCATTCATCGTTCTTGAGACAAATTCTCACCCAGGCTCTAGGCAGGTTTACGCTTGCAATAGCCCAGAAAGGGTAATCTCATCACATACTTCGTTATTATTTTTTTACCTTCTTTTAAAACAGATTCCACACCCATTGTCAGTAACCTGCCCTAACACTGAACAATTCTTCCACAAAGCCACTCCCTCTGGGGAAGGCTCCCTCTGCAGCACCTTCCCAACAGCACCCAACCCCGGAGCAGATACCATTGAGATGGCCACTTGTGTTCTAGGCTCTTATGTCTGAGAAAATGTCCTGAGGATAAGCAGCCATGCTCTTGGTTAGGGAGCCCCTCTATTTACTCTTAAAAAAAATATATATATATATATATATTTTATATATAAAAAAATCAATTTTTTATATATAAAAAATCAATTATATATATATATAATTGATTTTTTTCAGAGAGGAAGAGCGAGGGATAGAGAGTTAGAAACATTGATGAGAAAGAAACATCGATCAGCTGCCTCCTGCACATTCCCTACTAGAGATGTGCCTGCAAACAAGGTACATGCCCTTGACTGGAATCGAACCTGGGACCTTTCAGTCCACAGGCCGATGCTCTATCCACTGAGCCAAACCGGTTTCAGCTCTATTTACTCTTGCTCTTAATTTCAAGCTCCCAAATCTCTTATTAGCAACTGTCTCTTAATTACAAGTTACTGTGGGATTCCACAGCTGGATATGGAAATGAAGTAAGAACTCAGGTGTCTGGTTTAATTCATCTGAGTAAGAAAACTGTAATTCATGGCTACCCTGATCATCAAAAGATGTAAAACTTTCAATACTTTGTCCTTTTGAGAGAATTACAAATTTTCTTTATTGGACTAGAATCTCACTTAACAATGACAGCTACTGAAGACTGAGTGTTGGCTGTGGATTAGGCACTACATTGAGCACTTCATGAACTTGCCTATGACTTTATAACAACTCAGCAATAAGGATTAGGGCAGCTCTCACAAGATCATACGAATAGTGTGTGGCAGAACTAAACTTTGAACCGGAATCTGCAAGACGCCTATGCACAATCACTGACAGGTGAATAGAAGACATGTTAAGTGAAGGAACAGAAGGAGCAAAAGCAGAAGAATCAGTATTTCTGGGGAGAGAGAGAGAGAGAGAAGAGAGAGAGAGAGAGAGAGAGAGAGAGAGAGAGAGAGAGAGAGAGAGAGAGAGAGAGAGGTCAGTCACTTTGCCAGAGCCTTCTTTGGAAAACCACAAGCTCAGAAGTGAGTTTGTATTAATGGAAAAATGGATTAAAGATTATTTAAAGCCACCTCTTCCAAAAGCCTTTTGAAGGTCAAAGTATCAGCTTCTTTCTTATTCAGGAAAGTTTGGATTTTCTGCGGATCACTTATAATTAATTGCTTAGCCTTTCCCAGCTTCCTGGAAGAGGGTTGTCTCTTACACATGCAAGGAGCATTGTCAGGACCATGAATCACGGTTCTGAACAATCAAATGCATAACTTCATGCTTCTTGGTTATGCTTTATAATCAGCACCATCATGCAGGTGTGTCTGGCAATGAGTGAATCATTCAGAAAATCAAGTTCTGGACTGGCCTAAAGTTGCATTGACAATGTCCTCATCAGGACTTGTCTGGATTAATGACCAACCTCCCCACTGGGCTGTCTAACTCCAAGCCTTTTTTTCTGCATGGATGCTTGAATGAATTTCTGAAATATTACACCTCATCATCTAATCCTCTCCCTAAAACTCTCAGTAATTCTCCATTGTCTATAGAATGTAGTCCCCTCTCTCTGCCATGGCACCGGTCCTGCCTACTCACCTGGTCTTTTCACTTCATATGCCTAGCAACCATCAACTATTACAGGTCTCAGGTCTTACATGCTTCCACAGGTCCACGCTTTGTACATGCTGCTCTCTTTTCTTAGAATCACATGCCTTTTTTAAATATAGGATCTGCTTTATCTTTTTTAAAAAAATTTTTATTTTTATTTTATTTATTTATTTATTTATTTATTTATTTATTTATTTATTTGCAGAGAGGAAGGGAGAGGGATAGAGAGTTAGAAACATTGATGAGAGAGAAACATCGATCAGATGCCTCCTGCACACCCCCTACTGGGGATGTGCCCGCAACCAAGGTACATGCCCTTGACCAGGATTGAACCTGGGACCCTTCAGTCCACAGAACGATGCTCTATCCACTGAGCCAAACCAGTTAGGGCGAATCATATGCCATTTGTTTGCTCAGCAGACCTTTTATTCTTCAAGTGGCTTCAGGTGACAGGCCATCTCCTCTGTGAAACCTTCATTGACTTTACAGGCCAATGTAGGCATCCTTTCTCCTTAGGCATCCCTCTTACCTCGTAAAAGCTTCCATGGTCATTATTATTTAGTTTCTTGAGAGAGAGGACTGTCTTTTATTTATCTTTCATCTTTGGTACCGCATTCTAAGTGCTCATCAAGTATTTTTTGACAGAATGAGTGAATGAGGGGGACTGACCATTATGAAGTAGATGCTGAAGGACCTTGTCGCTGATCTTCATCAATTTACAGTATTTGGTATATTTTGTTCTGGGAAAATGAGTTTTATAATAATCTATATCTGAAGAGAATCATTGTAATCATAGTATAAAGTGCAGGCAGCATGTGGCAGGAATGTTTCATTGAACTGCATAGAAACTAGTCTGTCTTCCTGGCGGTTGTTTTCTTGTCTTCATCATCAAATTCTGAACACCTTGAAGGTAAGATTAATTTTTTATCTCAGTACCCTCAGTTCCTGGCATAAAGGAGATGCTTAGAAATGCTTGATAAATGAATGAAAAACCATGTATGGGTTAACCCTCCCCACCTACACTCCTTTCTTTCTGGACAGCAATGGCATGGGTTAGGCAATATCTTTCACTTGGGCCCAGGAATACAGAAAGAGTAAAAATGAAAGTAAAACTTATCAAGTTCCCAGTGATAATGGGAGGGAGATTTATCCCAGCTCTGTTTCTAGTTGATTCTGTGATCTTGGGTAAGATCCTTTCCTTCCCTGTTGCTCAATTTCCCTCTTTGAAAAACAAGTGATTTGGACTAGATGATCTTTAAGGCCATTCTAACCACTTCCCCTCACTGATTTGCAACCTAAGTTTTGTAAATAGGAAAATTGGAGCCACATTCTTCAAACTGGCTGTCTCAAAGGAGTCAGCACATGTGGATTATTTTTTACCTCAGAACCTGTTCATACCTGAGTGTTTGTTACCTTAGAAGGGAGGGGACAGGAACTGGTGTATTATGTTTAAGTGTGAGTTCCAGGCTGCAAGGTAAAAACCAGCCCAGCCACAAACCAAATAATTTGTCACTGCTTGAGTAAAGAGAAACTTGGTGCTAGGCACAAAGTGGGACTGATGGAGGGGTTCTCATGGGCAAGAGACCCCCCCAAGGATGGACACCTATAAACAAATGACAGGAGGTTGCTAGTTTCCAGAGACTGTTAGGACAACCCTGAAAACCAGACTCAAAGTTTCCCGGCACATTGTGTGGGGTATTCTTTTCTAATAAAGACAAATGTCTGACACCCCAGTTCTTTGGGCTCCTCTCTCCTTCATCCTCCTGAAGCCAAGTGCTCTCAGCCCCCAAACTGCATGTCCCAAGCACAGGGAGATCACAGGCTGGCCTTGGGCGCTGTCTCTGTGGACCCGGGCAGCTTTGGAAAAGGGGAGAAGTCCTTTCTCCTGGTGTTCTCTGGAGACTCTACTCAAACCCTGAACCTAATGAGGTTAGAGCCAAGGTCCTGGCC